TCCCTTAGCTGGTGCTGCTATGTGCCGCTGTGCGCCCGCTGTGCGCTGCTGTGTTCTGTGTGGTGGGGCTGTGTCCCTCCACCTGTGGTCCGCAGGGAACGAGGATCCCATGAAAGGGCACTGAAGGCCACCTTGGATCCTGGGTCCTGGCTGACATTGCTGGTTAGGAATAGACAGATCTTCTCTTTGTTGTGCTTACCTAAAAGTTCTATCAGATTGCTGGTGACCAGCCCAGAGTCAAGACTGCGTCGTTCAGCTAGAGAGACCTGCTTCTGCACACAGAGAAACTTACCATGGAGTGGCTTCGGCAAAGCTCCACTGCAGTGGGCATGGGAGTGGGTGTATATATATATATGTGTGTGTGTGTGTGTGTGTATGTATGTATATAAACAAATTTATATGTATATATTTGGTCTTCCCTCACTTCTCCCTTCTTTCCTAATAGGGAGGCTACAGAACCTCACCTCCTCCTGCTGTCAAGATGAAGAATATAGATTTGCTGGCTGGAGTTTCTGCAGCCATTTTGATCTGTATAGTCATTTGGAGAAAGCCCAGTTCCAGATGGTAGATCAGAAAGACAAGTGCCTGATCACATCCTAGCGATAGCCTGGGGCTGCCCCAGCAGCCCACACAGCCAGTGTCAGACTTCCCTCTAAGTCATCATTGCTTTTATCCAGTCATGGGCAGGCTGACCTAGTAAGAGGTGAAGTGAGAGGGACAGAAGGGAGACAGGAAGGGGAGGCACCCAGGAAGGGGTACTGTTAGACAAAGGAATTACATATCCGTACTAAAGACTTGCATTTGCTGGTGCTGACTAAGGGACCCCTTTTACAATCACTCTACCTGAGGCCCCTCAGTTAACCTCTATCAAATGCTGCAAGGAGGGTGTGCAACCTCAGAGCAGGCACATTTTTTCAAGGCCACTGAGTTGGGAGGCCAGTTCCGACCCCTAATCTGTTGGATTCAGGGACAACCCCTCCACCTCCACCCCACCTGGACTCAAGATGCTGAGAGGTGTGAAAGCCAGAGAGTGGTCTACTCGGAGCTGAGGCTTTGTGTCACTGCGAACATGGAAAAAGCTGGTCAGAGGAGGCAGGAGAGCCTGGCTGGGTGAGCAAGAAGAATGAATGGAGGTTTCCATGCCTGGAAGGCAGAAGCTGTGTGGAAGAGGGGTGGGGTGACCCTCAGGAACCACAGTGCTCTCCTAGGAACCTCTTCTAAGGCCTGGAGTCAGAGTGGCCTCAGTTAGAAAGATTTCAAACCCGAAGTTTCCCATGAAAAGCTGCCGGAGATTGATGTGAATGAATTTGGGCAAGTTCAGATCAGGTGAATCCAGCCATCTGCCAGCTGTCCTCAGGAAGTACGATTTCTTCTCAGTGCAGTTAAAACTGATACAGAGCTCCTGGGATAGGTAAGTCTTCACGGTGTATTTGAGGGAGTCATTAGGGATATTATGAACAATGCTTGAAAATTAAGCTCAAAATGCTATTGAGAAAAGGACTCATCCATCAGTCAAGATGTTGCTGAATCAAAGAACAGTCTCTATCCCATCTCACAACAGTTTGCAACAGGCCAAGCAGTTTTCAGATGTTTGAAATAATTTCCTTTCGACAGATGAGCCTAGACAACTTGGTAGTTACATCGCTTGGTGGGAAATGATGGTGAGCGTTACCAGGTATTGTGTTGCTATGACAGAAAGCAGCTGGCCACATGCTCATCTGTCAGTCCCAAGTAAGAACTGTAGCTGCTCTTGAAAACAGTGTTGCTTTATGTTTTTCTAGTGATCATTTCACGAGTATGGTCTGTCTTCACTGAAGCAGAGGTGCCTGATCTGAACAGTGACCTCAGACAATAGGGATGCTGTCTGTAGAACTGAAGGAAAGCATGGACGCTGGCTGGTTACACGCAGGCGCAGACAGCCATAGCATCCAAAATCAGGGATGGGGTACTTGATTAAGACAAGAATCTCACTATATAGTCTAAGCTGACCTTGAACTCACAATCCTCTTGCTTTTCTCCCCTGAGTACTGGGATTATAGGCATGTACCATCATGCCCAGCTTCTACCATTTAATTGATGCCATTGTTCTTGCTTAGGCCTCAAAGTGCCACGTATCCATTTCCCTGATGCCCTGTTGGAGGGTGTGGTTCTCACTATTTTGGCTGAGCTCACACTGTTCCCAGCCCTTACTTCCAGGCCGTGTCTAGGTCACGGAGGTTGCCATGCCACCTGGTCACCATAGCCTCCTGTACACTGGCCAACCCGCCCTTCCCTGTTTCTGTCTGACAGGAATTCCCAGCAGTCCTGACTAGCCAGCCTCTTCTGCCTTCCTGAAACCTCCAGCTCTTGGCTCTGAGCCCCAGTTTTCTTGGTTTTCCTCCAGGCTCACCGGCCAAGGGTCTAAACTGCCTTGTTCATCTTTCATCTATCTTCTCATCCAGGCCAGGCCTTTGGTTTCACCTCTAGATCATTACCTCTCAAATCTGTCTTGAATACAGACCTTCTCCCAGCACTTAAAGCCTACCAACATCTTTATAAGCATTTCCAGGAGATATGTGAAAGGCACAGGCAAACAGCAGCTGAAACAGATCCTGTGTTCCTGACTTCTTCACTGGGACTGTCTTCTCCCTCAATCCTCCTATTTTAGAAGGTGACAGCCCTTTGCTGCTCAAACCAAGAGTCCAAGAGTTCTCTTGGGTTAATCTGTACCTACCACTGCCCTAACCAATCCATTCCTCACCTCTGTCTGCATACAGTTTCCATGACTACCATCAAACCAAAAGTGGGCTGACTAGACTCCCTTGTGCTCCTCTTGCAGCAAGTGCTGTCCTTGGAAAATTCCAGTCAGATCACTGTCTTTTTTAATGTACTCCGCCCCCCATGGCACAGAATCCCAGCCCCTTTCTTGACTCCTTCCCCAGCCCCACCCATCCCAACAGCCCACTCATCTCAAGGGCTTTGTCCTTTACTAGCTAGCCATTTTTCATACTGTTTATGTCACAATCTTGAGCTCTTCCTTTGTGCTTATTTTCTGTCCCTTCCCTTGAGAACAGAAGCTCCCTGAGAACAGGGGCCTCCCTCCCCCCAGCTGTTTCCCTAAGGCTCTGCATCAGAGCTCCATCCTGGCGTCTGGGGCTCATTTGTTGAATATCTGTGAATGACTGAACTACACACTTCCTGTCCTTTGCCCTCTGTATACTGATGCCTGTCTTCATTACCGTCTGCATTGTCAAATAACGGTTTATGGTCATGCATTTTATTCACAGGCCTGGGTTTTAAAATCCGTTACATATTTAGTGTGTGAGTCATCTATTTGAATTCTAGACTTTTGATTGTGGCCTGTGACTCAAATACTACACTGGTAGGAAAACTTTCAGCAATAAACCACACATGTCATCCGATGCCAGCTTTGACCTGCCCAGTGGCATAAGAGAACAGAGAAAGAAGTTCATTACTGTTACAGACCCTGGACTTAGCTTTTAATTTTCATACAGTCCTAAGAGGAAGGAACTATTATTTGTCTGGATTTTGCAAATGGGCCAAGGACATTGGTCCTCTAATGATATGTAACCAATTATCCAAACTGAGTAGTTTGCATTGAAAACCCCTCCTGTCACATTTACCAGTTCTCAGAAGCCTGGGCAGACTGTGCCAGACTGTGCTCGAGGGGCTGGGCTGGTATCTGGGGGCTTTGGAGAAAAATGAACTCACAAACTGTTGCCAAGGCCAAGTAGTCGATCCCCTTAGGCCTGTGGTTCTCAACCTTCCTAATGCTGCAACCCTTTAATATGGTCTCTAGTGTTGTGGTGACCCTAACTCTAACATTATTTCCATTGCTACTTCATAAGTGTAAGTGTTGCTACTGATATGAATTGTAATGTAAATATCTGTGTTTTCTGACAGTCTTAGGTGACCTCTGTGAAAAGGTTATTCGAACCTCTGAAGGGTTGGGACCCACAGGTTGAGGATTTCTTCCCTGCGTCTGTGCCATCAAATCCCCTCTTCTCTCTGCCTGTACTGTCAGCTTTTCCTTAACCTGCTTGTGTTCAAGAGTCTCTGGCCCACCTAGCTACCCTTACATAAGCTATTTAAAGAATTCTCTCATATGCTAGAATGCACAGTTCAAAAGGGAAACCTCTGCTATTTTTATTTTTATTTATTTATCTTTTAAATTCAGGGACACCTCACACTGAACAGTGCTGCTTTCTTTGGGGGGACAGAGCATAGAGTTAATCAATAGTCGCAGAAACTACCTGGCCTCACCAGAGGTTGTTCAGTGGTACATGGATTCCGCTTTCTCTGGAGTACTTCTGGTAATTTAAAAATGCTTGAAGCTGCGGAAGACAGCCCCGCCCTCTGCATCATTCAAAAGAAAACTCAGACACAGAGGCGGGCTCCCGGTTCTTGCACAGAAACGTTCAATATTTTCAAAAGTTGGAGAGACATAGATTTCATTTCTGTCCTTGGTACCTTAACTCTTGTGATGTGTGTAGCCTAAAGTTAAAGTCTAAAAGATTTGGTCACTGAAGTCTGAGCTCAGGGCAGGCACGCTCCTAACAACCAGCCCACTAATGATTTAAGATCAGCACTCTCTGTAGAGGAAAGCATGAGCGGAAACGGGGGTTATCAGGGCAAAGCACACCCAGATGCCTTAACAAAACGGCAGAAATGGATCCTTCCCTCTTCCGTGGGCTGCCGGCTTGTTCTCTGTCAGTGTGCGTTTCACAGTCAAATACATGTGAGCTCTCCGCCTTTTATTTTCATTGTCCCCAAGTCTCCTAACCAAAAGCCTCTCCTCCCTGACCAGGCTCACTGGCTACAAGCCCGGGGCGCGCGCTGCCAGGGTCTAGGAAGCTGCCCTTCCGGAAGGGTGGTGGAGACCCTGGGAACCAGACCAGCCAGGCTCACAAATATGAAGAGAATGTCGGGAGAGGAAGTGGTGGCTCTGAGTCGGCGTGACTCATCTGGTTCCAGTGACAATGAAGGCCGAGGTGTGTGCCTTGTTCTTGTCTTTTTTTTTTTTTTTTTTTTTTTTTTCCTGAATCATGTGGACATCTCTGAGAATGAGAGGACGCAGTGGCGTTACAGTGGCTGCTTTCTAAGTTTCAAAGTGACTTTCCAGGCAAGCTGTGTACGTCTTGGGGATCTTCACAGCACAGTGGCTGGAAAGGAGGAGCCCCGTCCATCAGAGTCTCCCTGGTAAGTACGATTCCGTCAATGATGTCCCCACGCGTCTCTGAGCTTCGACAGCTGCTGCATTCTTGGGCAGACACTGTGCTTTTCTCCCAGACTTGGAAGGTCTGTGATGTCAGGAAAGTGGCTTCCTCTGCCTCCAATCCAGCTCTGCTGTGTCTGCCGAACTCTGGGGCTAGTCTCTTAGCTGTGCGTTTTTTTGTGGATGCCAGCTGTGTGTTATGCTATCTCAGGGGAGAGCAGGAGACTGCCTGGGGAGGAAGCCACTTCGGATTCCTAGCTAGAAGCCAAAGTGAAGGGCAGAGATGGAGGTGGGTGAGTTTCTGCTAACTGGGCGATGAGGTTGAACTAGTTTCCGATCCTGAGAAGCAGAAGGAAGAGCCAGCCCCAGGGCAGCTTCTGGCCGCTGTCCCAAGCAGCCTGGCCTGAGCTGTCCAGCTGCAGGACAAAAAAAAGGGCAGTGAGGTAGAATTTTGGCTTTTCTCTGAACATGTGTAAATGGCTTCAGGACTGTATTTTACATTCCTTCCTTTCCCTTAATGCTCTAGGTGGAAACCCGTGCTCAAAGGCAGAAAGAAAAGCCACAGGCTGGGGACCTGGAGGGGGATGGGTGCAGTTAGGGGAGTGGATTGGCCTAAGGTCACGAGAGTAGTTGCTATTCTTGGGAGCGTACCTTTACTGTCAAATAAACAGAGTTACGGTAAATGCTATGCCACTTTTTAAGCAAATCTGAAGAATGATCACTTGCTTAAAAAGCAGCATAACAGGCTGCAGGGAAGATAGAAGCCTGTTCTGAGCAAGCCACTGGGCTGTGTGGGGCTTCCCGAGTTAAGAATGAGTCAGCACCCTGACTGAATGAGCTCTGAGCATCCGCCCTGGGCATAACACGGAGCTTGCTGGCCTGGCTCTGGAGGGAACTTGGTCTTCCATTGAAATCAGCATTGTCTGCCCCTCTGTGAAGTGGATAGTCGGGAGTTCTGGGCTTTCTTCTTTCTTCTGTGATGTGCCGGGGGGGGGGGGGGGGGGGGGG